TGAGCTTTTAGCTCGCCGCAGCAGGGAATTCAGGGCGTCCTAAAGCCTGTCTTTGACGGCGTCAGAGCTACAGTGTAAGCAGACACGAGAGACAGACAGCAATCAGCTTCCCGTTTGTGAGACTCCTTTACAGACGTTGCCAAACGGACCACACAGAGGCGACTATCAACAGGTATCCACTCAACTAAGGATACTTCCGCCCGGTGACTTAGCACAATACCAACCCCTGCACATCCCGCTGCAACAGCCTCTGGATCACCAGGGGTGCGCAGCCGGAAGCGAGTCGAGACTGACGGGGCGGTTAACTCAACCACTGTGCTTGCATCTTGAATTCTCGTTTCTGAGACACAGCACACATCAATGCCAAGCGAGTCCAGTGTAAGTGCAAGAGCAGACTGTCATGCTTGCTTCAGAGTGCGGACATTGAACGCGGCCAGATAGATTGGGTGTCGAGGCTTGAGGACTGATTTGGAGATACCTGAAGATGTCGGCGCAATGTGACGAGCAGATGCTGCACGCAAAACCGATGCATGACGAACGGAGTCATCAGTCCTAAGTGCTGGGCCTACAAGGAGAGAGTTATTAATGGGGTGGGGAGAGGGGGAGAAAAAATGTGAAAGGGAGGGAAAAGAGAAGCCAGCAGTAGTTTGTTTTCGCTCACCAGCCATGCTGTATGCAGCAAGTAAGGCGACCCGGATGATGGCACCACGTGACGGCCGATGTGGGATGAGAGTATTGTTAGTCGTGAATTTTATGATTGTACGAGGGCTGGGATACTGCCAGGGCGCTTGCACCTAGACAGGAAGAGGATTAGGGTCCTCAACCAAAGCCTTTGGCTCAAAAGCCTAACCCCAAGGCAGCGGTGTTTAGCGGGAAATGCAAATGCACCACCATTTCTACGGAACAAGTCGCCACATGTTCCAAACCCCCAACCTGGAGGGCCAGGAGACTATGTTCATCAGGCCTCTGCCCATTGACAAACCTGGTATGAGAGACTCTGTGAGTGTCGCGCGGACACTCCCCAGTGTAGCTCAATGGATCGCTGAGGTGCGCAAACCGTCACACCAAGGTAAGATCCAGTTTCTTCGTAGTGTATCTTATCGTATTGTATTCATATATACAGTACTTTATCCTATTTGATTGTAATGATTAATGTACGTCCGTCCTATGTAACTATCCACCACGTGCTGCGTATGCCAGTCGACCGACTTCCTCGAAGGGCTCGTTTCGCCCAACCATGTGAAGGGTGGAAGAAAGCCAGAGGCGG